TTTCGGTTTTTGTTTTTTATTTTATTTTATTTTTTATTTTTTGAGACAGGGTCTCTCTGTGTAACAGCTCTAGCTGTCAGGGAACTTGTTTTGTAGACCAGGCTGGCCTTGAACTCACAGAGATTCACCCGTCTCTTTCTCTGGGCTTAAAGGCGTGAGCCACCACCGCCCCTGTTAATTCCAGGATTTAGGAGATTGAGGCAGAAGGATCAAGAGTTCGAGGCTACCCTCTAGACATAGATTTGAAGCCAGTCTCAGGCTGGTGATGAAGTCTCCTGACACAGAATATAACAGCAACGGCAACAACAAAAGCCCGAGGGGCAGTTGTTAGGGATGGGATGATGAGGGGAGAGGTCTCCTCCAGCTGATGTTGCCCACAGCTCTGCAGCTGCATCTTAGTGAAGGGTGTGCTGTGGTTTGAAAGCCTGACTCTTAGGGTTGCATGCAACTCTGTCTCTGGTCAGTTGCCCACTGAATCTCCCAAAACCTCGGTCTCTGCCTCTGTTCACCAGTATTTGGCTCACCTGAGTGTTGGAAGGGGCCCAAGAGAAGCTATATTGTCCCAAATGGAAGGTCTTCTAAATACCAGCCATTGTTCCTAAGGGAGAAAGGCGAGGGTTCTTGTACCTCTCTGCCAGTGTCTTCTAAAGGGAGGCAAGAGGGTGCTCACATTTCCCGGGCACTATGAGGCCCTGGGCAGAGGGGAAAGAATGGAAGAAGCACCTGGTGGCCAGGTGCTCCCTCCTTTATTACCCATACCCCAGCAGCATCAGTGAAGAGGGGGTGCGGAGAACTGGGGGCCGGGAGTTTTGCCTGGGAGACACAGGTCTCCTGTAGATGCTGAGCTCGCTAAGCCAGTGCAGAATTTGTAATCTGTGCCACCCTTTGGTTTCCCAGGCTCCTAGTAAGATCCTGAAGGGACTCAAATGGAGATGATCCTACCCCCCTCCTCCCCTCCTCCCCTAGCCAGATGTCCACCCTCTATAATCCCATGGCTCCTCCCTCCCTCCTCTAAGAAGTTGAGACCTGGGGCTGCTCAGCCTACCTGGAAGGAGACTGACAAACATCCATGCCCTGCGGGTACTGACTGAGTCCAAGCTCACCCTCCCCTTCCCTCACTCTCTGGTAACTATCTGGCAGCAGGCCTGTGAACCCAAGGAGGAACCGCCAAACTCACAGGGCAGGGGGAAAGTGACTGAGATGGGGTGAGGCTAGTGGGGACCCTCCTGAACCCCACCCCTCAATCCAGGCCTAATGATACTTCCAAGCTGCCCTGGGTTTGGTGACTTCAAAGGCCCTTTCTTAGGAATCCTCATTCTTCCTGCTCCCGAGGGCTCCTCCTAAAGGGAGGTAGGCACCCACACCCCCTGGGAAGACTTGACAGCCTGAGAAATAACAACAAAAGTGTGCATTTTACTAAAGCTAAGTGTATTCATCAGGTGTGGTGGCTGGCACCTGCTATAATTCTAGCACCCTCGAGGAAGAGGCAGAAGGATCAGGAGTTCAAGGTCATCCTCAGCTACTTAAAGGAGTTTGAGGTCAGTTTGAGTTTTTGAGATACTGTCTCAAAACAAAGAAACAAAGTAAACGAAATAGAGTCAACTTTAACAATGTGTGTATGATGTGTGTGTGCGTGCAGTGTGTGGTATGTGCACATTCTTCTGTGTGAAGGTGCACGGAGGAGCACATGTGGAGGCTAAAAGGAACTTTGTAGAACCCAGGGCTGAAAGGAAGTAAGAACCTAAAGATTGGGGGGGTAGGGAGGTGCTGTGTATTGCTATCTTCTGGGCACAACAGGCCCCTACAATCATGAACTCAATGCAGTTGCCTGCCCTGGTCTTGCAGAAGGCTGGGCCCATCAACAGTCCCCTGTGGGTAGGGGAGGGGTGCTTGGAATCCTGCTCTCCCTTGGGAAAGGATTGATATGGATGGATGCTGGAGATGGGGGGCTTATTGTCTTCAGTTGTGTACCCACTGGTGAGCCCACCAGACGCTACTGGACCAGTCCACAGCCATGTTCACGCAGACCCTTGGTGAAACTCAGAGGTTCATAAAACAAAGCAAAAAAACAAAAAGAGCTTGCTTGTGGGGAAGAAAGGAATGTGGGTGGGAGCGTGGGGGAGGGGACAAGAGAGGGTGAAGGGGGAGAACCATTAGAACATATTGCATATGTATCCTTTTCATCTTCTTCCTTCCTTCCTTCCTTCCTTCCTTCCTTTTTTCTTTTCCTGAGACAGGTTTCTCTATGTAGGCCTAGGTATCTTGGAATTCACTCTGTAGCCCAGACTGGTTTGGAACTTAGAGATCCTCCTACCTTTGCCTCCCAAATGCTGAGATTAAAGGTGTGTGCTATCACCACCACCGGAATGACATGTAGAATTTTCAAAGAACAAATTTAATTTAAAAATATTGACTATAAAAAGTAACCTTAAAAAATAAAATAAATAAAATAAAGTTCCCAGATGTTGGGCGTCAGTGGCCTTTAATCCCAGCATTTAGGATGCAGAGGCAGACAGATCTTTGAGTTCGAGGCCAGCATACACAACGTGCTCCAGGACAGCCAGAGCTATTACATAAAGAGACCCAGACAGGAGAACCCTCTGGAACCAGAGTCCTCTGTAAGTAAATGTCTAGATCCCCAGCTAAGGTGCGATAAGAACCCTCTTGGTAGGCCCAATAGCTCTTCTATCTGGACCGTCTCTTGGTTCCCTTTCACAGGAGGATGCTCAGTCATACTCTGAAAGTCCTGCTTTCTACAGCCAGGCTAAGTCCTGACCTGTCCCTTCCTCCCCCACAGCAAACACGAACACAAAGAAAGAAAAGGATGGGTTTTTGGTTCACAGATGTACTCTACCAGCTGAACTGTATTTTGGAGGAAGAAAGATCTCTTGAAATGGAAAAAAGGTTTTGCCAGAGTGAACAGGGAAGAGGTCTTGAGGCCTCAATCTACACAAAGAACCACAGTCAACTAGGAAATACTGAGAGCAGGAGAGACAATCTTCCACAGGCAAGGGCATGCCAACTGGCTACCCAGTACCAAACAGCCATCCCTGAAAACACACGTACAAGTAACAGTAAACAAACTGCACAGGGTTTATTTAGGTATAAATGCATGTAACAGCAATTAATGAAGAAAAGAGGCCAGGAATTTGAAAAAAAGCAAAGGAGAGTGTATATGTGAGAAAAGGGAATGGGGAAATGATGTCATTATTTTATAATCTCAAAAATAAAAGAAGTAATAAAAGTAATTTTTAAAGAGGAAAAGCTTTGTTGAGACGGAATCCGATGTCACTAACCCTCCGTGAGAAGTCACATTAGGCGCCTTGAAGGATGTTGCCTAGTTTCAGTGTTGCTGGATGAGGGGACTAGACTCAATGGATTGCAAGCAACTTTCATGTTATTTTGCAACTGAGCTGTGTTCTTTAGAAACACTAGATGCTAACTTTTTTTTTTTCTTTCATTTCAGCAGGCCTCGCTGAGGATTGTGCAGAATCAAAAGGGCTAGGAAGAGAAAGGCTGGTTGCTGAGGTCTCTGCTTAACGCTGTGTGGGCTCTTCCTGCCCCTAAGTTCACATTCTAGGTATGTCCTGGTGCACCTCCCAGAAATAAAGCTAACCTCTCTCGAGGCTCCCCTCAGTAAACTGGTACTGCCCGCCAAACACATTCTCAGGTTTCTGTGAAACGGGAGGAATTGGGTGGAAGGGTCAGGTGTGTCCTGAATCGGCCCGTGTTGCTCCAGGTGGAGTTCGCCTTTTCGCAGGGCCGTGCCCAGATGGCGCTTATCAAAGTTACCACTTAAACAAATAGGCCCAGATAAAAGGGAGCCAGGTGCAGGCAGGCCTGAGCTCAGAGCCCAAAGAGAACGAACGGAACGGGAGCCTGGTGAGCAGCGTAAAGTGGGAAAACGGGACTTGGGTCTCTAGCCTAAAAGTGGATCCAGAAAGAAAGTCGCAACGGGGAGCTTTTGATTAGATTTGGACGAAATTAAGCAAAGACGACAGGGTCGCCAGTGAGTTCGGGGCGGAGAGAGGGCAGCACGAAATTAAGGCGGCAAAAGGCGTGTCGCCGCTGCGAGTCAGCCCAGGGAGAGCTGTGAGCGCGCCCTCTCCCCGCGCCCTGGGCTCAGCGTCCCTCAACGCTTACCTGGCCGGGGCTCCGGGCTCCTGGGACAGCTGTCCCACAGAGGAGTACAGCGCGAGGAGGATCCCGGAGCTGGCGGCGATTATCAGCAGCATCCAGAACAGCCTGCGGCGCGAAAGATCCATTCGAGTACCGCCGGGGTGCGCCCCGTCTGCCACTCCTGCGCCTTGAGCTCCCGGGCGGAGTGGCCAGACCTGGAGGGACGCGCGGAGGCGGTAGCCCTGCTCTGCCCCGCCCAACCCACCCCGGGCGGCTGCGGCGCCTCCGGGTCCTGCAGCTCCCCCTGTGTCCCAGGCCGGAGGTCGGCCACGACTTCAGAGACTGAATGTTTCTAGAGCTGCCCCGCAAAAAGAACAGAGCCGCGATTGCCAATCCGGGGCTGCCCCCGGGGACGTCGATGGCAGTCACCCCGGGCGCTGTTCTCCCGCCAGAGCCACAGCCCAGACGCACCTAGCCCAGAGTTGGGCAAGGACGTTCGCACCGTCCAGGGCCAGCCTGTGCTGTGAAGGACGGGGAAGGTCGCCTACTGCGCTGGCTGAACACTGTGCATTTAGGGACCCACCTCAACTTTGTGAACTTAAAAAGAGGGTGTGTGGCCGCTGTAAAACAACCTGACTGGCTCCTCTCTCACTGGGACCATGAGATGGGTTCGGCCCTGGTACCTCGTGTACTCGCCTAAGAGCAAGAGGGGCTTTCACCAAAGAATGGAAGGAAACCCCTTAGCTTAGATTTGGGGTTGAAGGTGGAGGGGTCAGACAGAGAGCCTGCCTCGGTGGGGTGCACTGTGGGGCTTAGGTTATCACCCCTTTCTTTGGTGAGGACCCATTGCGGTGGAGGGCGTCGTGTAGGGAGCCTGCGGCGATGGTTGTTATTGCTTTATTTGGTGACGATGTAAAAGTCAGCCCTCTCCACGAACTATTTTTACAAATGGAGGCCAACTTGGCCAGGGAGGATGAGAGAGACTTAGTGGGAGGGATGGAGCAGGGCGCCAGCATCGCCAAGAGAGGCTGGGGAAACCGGACGGTGCCCTTTGGAAGTAAATTCCCTTCCTGTCTGGGAATGATGGGTGAGATGGCGTGTTCTTCAGTTTGCAGTTTCTTCGACCTCAGAACCCTGTTAAATATCCCAGACTCCAAACTCTAGGGTTTGAAAGGGTGAACCTCGGGGCCCCAAACTGCGTTAATATGTGGGCAACAGAGGAAACTCTGGGATGCAGGCATTGGTATTTGTCCAGAGTCAGGCTTTCTGGGCCCTGGGTCTGTCTGTGGTCAGAAGTGGCCTCTTCGCAGGCTTTCGCCTGGTCAGGTGTGGACCGGGACAGGGTCCCTGGAGTGCAGCCACGAAGCCAATCTTGTCCTGTAAAGGAAAAAAATTATATATACCACCCTTTATGCTGAAATGCAGGGCCTTAGAAATAGACAATTCAGGCCCCTTGCTGTAAGGAAGAGGAAGGGAGCCTTTTGTCCTGTGACAGGATGTGAGTCAGGATCAGCTAGGAAGGCAGGAAGAGATAAGAAAAACAGGTAGCACAGCCCCCTCCTTGGTATCCAGGTGGGTCTGGACAACCCCCTCCTTGGTATTTAGGTAAAAGGTCAAGAATGTGCCACTCAGCTTAGCCTTATTTGAACTGACCAATGAAATGAATCCCCGTAATCACGCTTTTTTGCTTCTGTACCCGCGCTTCTGCTCTCCTATAAAAACCTCTCACCCCCAACCGGGGGGCGCGCAAGTCCCCGAGAGACTTGGTCGCCCCGGGTATCCGTGTATCCTCAATAAACCTCTTGCTGCTTGCATCCGGCTGCGTGTTTTCGACTGATCTTTGGGGCGCAGGGGCCTCTCCCGAGGGAAGACGCCCCACGGGAGTCTTTCAGTCCTTTGTCCCAAAGCTGCCGGGAATGCTGCCCTGCTGATGGTCACAGCTAAGAATTTGTGGTTTCAAGTGTTGTTTTACGTTATACGTATGTCGGCGTGCAAGCGTCAGTGTGGAGGCCGGAGGGCACTTTGAAGGTTGGGTCTCTCCTTCCACCACATTTGTCCCGGAAATGGAACTCCGGTCACTTGGCGTGGAGGCAAGCACCTTTATCTGCTGAGCAGTCTCGCTGGCCCTGATTTCAAGTTACTCATTTCAATCTCTGTGCTTTGCTTTCCCCTTATCAAAACTCCTGTACTGTAGCTGCCATCAGGACTCTCTCTGTGGTTAAGAAGTCCCCAATCCCTCTCTGCACCTCTAAGTCCCCCTCTTCCCATTAGCACCTGCTTCACGGAGAGAAAGGGAATCAGTAACGTGTAGCACGAATTCTAATTGGTCTTAATAAATAAAACCCAGAGTCAGATATTAGGGGTGAAAGCAAAGGATCAGAGAAGCCGTGTGGCTTCACTGGAGAGACCTTTTACTTCAGACCAGAGGGGCGATCCTGTCCTCAGACTTCATCCTCTGACACAGGCTCCACCTCAGACTGCCCTGAGCTCCTGCCCCTTTCCATTTTATGCTCCTCTCTCCACCCAGCCACACCACCCCCGTCTCCACCTCCCCAGTGCTGGAATTCTAAGTGCTGGGATCACCCTTGTGTGAGCTCTGTTTCTCTTTTAGACAGATTCGGTCTTGTGTAGTCCAGGGTGACCTTGAACTAATAGATCCACCTCTGGGATTAAAGGTGTGTGCCACCACTCCCTGGCCTCCAGTGGCTTAGCTCTGCACACTGATCTTCAGGCAAGCTTTATTTGTTAACTCATAAACAAAAAATATCACTACAGTAACTAGTTATTTTTTCAACTTTCCCCGCACCAGCCCCTCCTCCCCCATAGCGGTCCAGTTCTTCCTCCTCTGTGGGAGTCGATGCCCATCCGCATTAATGACCCAGGTCCACCATTTTCAATGTCCCATGGCAATGCTTCCCCAGACCAAAGTGTCCTGTCCATCCCCGAGAGTCTCTCAAGCCCCCCAGTCTCTCCCAACACCTCAAATCTTGCTTCCCCATCTAGCCTGGGTCTGCAGGTCACAATCTGAGCTACTGTTTCCATCAGTCAGTAGCACAAATCCACTTGTGGGCTTGCTTTGCTGCCAACACAGATTCATGCTTGGGCTTGCCTGCAGTGCTCCCTCCCCGGATGGCCCACTCAGTTCCTAAGCAGGATGGAACCAAGAGCACAGCCTCAGCTGACCTCTCCTTGCCTGCCACTGCCTAACCCTGGTTGGCTCCAGCTCCTATTCTGCTTTCCAGTGACTCTAGCCTTCTCTTGTCACTGCCATTCTAAAAGAGAGCATCAAGTGTGAGCTTCAGGCCTGGAGGTGTAGCTCAGTCGGCAGCATGCTTGCTTGCCTGGCATTCATGAAGCCCTTCCTAGTTCAGTCCCCAATACCACAAACATCAGTTAGACACCTATACTTTTGGCAGGTGAAGGCAAGAGGATTAGAAATTCAAGGTCATCCTTGCCTAAGAAAAGAGTTCAAGACCAGCCTGGGTGTCGCGAGCCTTATTCCTGAGCGGGCATTTTGCCCTTACTTAGAGGTCTGCAAGTAAATACTCAGGATGACCACAGTGTTTGTTCTAGGAACAAGTTTATTATGCCAGTAGTCAAATCTCCAATTGTTAGCAGGTATGGGCAAACATCAAAACTATAACAATCATTTAAATCTCTAATTATTCTTATGGCAGATATAGGTAAACATCAAACCTATAACAATCCTAGTCAATCAATCACATCACACCTTCAATCACATCACACATTCAGCAAGGGTTCCTATGTCCTAGGCAAGGTCTTCTATCCTATCTTACTGAGGCATTGGTGTATACAACCTGATAATGGTCCGTGGCTCTCGACATAGGCCTCTGGATCAGCAAGTCTTGGTCCGCAGGCAAGAGCTAGTTCTCTGGCTCTTGGAAGGTCTATCAGTGAGTCAGCAAGCCAGCAAGTCAGCAAGTCTTGATCCGCAGGCAAGAGCTAGTTCTCTGGCTCTTGTACGGTCTCAGCTGTGAAGTTGCTGCTTCGTTGGATTCTCTATGACCACTCTGACAACATGTCTAGCAAGTCATTTTGAGAATGTTTTTTGGTTGTGAGCCTCAAGTTTTTATACTGTCTGTGGCTACATTACTTTTTTTTATTTCTAGATTAGCACACATGTCTGCTTATCATATAGTTACGTCACACTTGTTCACCAGCTCAAACTATTATCACCACTGCACACATTGCTTCATATTTTTTAGTTTCATTTTGCGTGTCACTTAATATTGTGTCTTAACATTCCTGGTTTGTTTATCCTTACAAACTCATAACATTTCACTTAATATTGCCTCTTAATACTCCTGGACTTGTTTGTCCTTACAGACTCATAACACTGGGTTACACAGACTCCATGTGGTGATGGTTACTTTGTTTTTGTTTGTTTGGTTTTGGTTTTTTTGAGACAGGATTTCTCTCTGTAGCCCTGGCTGTCCTGTGTGCTGTGATTACCATTAACAAATAAAGAAACTGCTTTGGAACTATAGGAAGGCAGAACTTAGGTAGGAAAAGCTAGGCTGAATGCTGGGAGGAAGAAGGGTGGAGTCAGAGAGATGCCATGGAGCCACCACTGGAGATAGACGTGCTGAAACTTTGCCAGTAAGCCACTGCCACGTGGCGATACACAGATTAATAGAAATGGGTTAAATTAATATGTAAGAGTTAGCCAATAAGAAGCTAGAGCTAATGGGCCAAGCAATGATTTAATTAATACAGTTTCTGTGTGATTATTTTGGGTCTAAGCTAGCTGGGTGGCTGGGAACTTAACAAGCAGCCTCTCCCTTCAACAGTTTCACTATGTTTAGAACCCCAGGTTACAGTCTCAGTGCAGGGGCAGCCAGAAATCGGAAGCACTAGTTAGAGCCACAGTGAAGGGCAGGAGCCCATGCATGCCTCATTAGGGTCAGACTGGTCTACATAGCCTGCCAGAGCCCTTGTCTTGAAAAATAAGAAAAGAGAAAAGGAAAAGGAAAGCCAACCTGACCTAGATAGTCTCCCCTTGAGACTCTGTTCCTAAGTTGATAAAAAATAACCATCACAAACCAGGCGTTGGTGGCACACTCACCTTTAATCCCAGCACTCAGGAGCAGAGGCAGGTGGATCTCTGAGTTTGAGGGCAGCCTGGTCTACAAAGTGAGTTCCAGGACAGTCAGGACTACAAAGAGAAACCCTGTCTCAAAAAAAAATCAAAAAACAACAGGAAAAACAAACTACAAATGTATTGCCAGGTGGCAGTGGTGGCAATGGTGACACACGCCTTTAAACCCAGCACTCGGGAGGCAGAGGCAGGTGGATCTCTGTGAGTTCTAGGCCAGCCTGGTCTATACAGAGTGAGTTCCAGGACAGCCAGGGCTGTCTCAAAAAACTAAAAAAAAACAAAAACAAAACAAAACAAAACAAAAACAAACAAACAAACAAACAAAACCCCCCCAAAACCAAAAAAAGTCTTTCCACTTGCCCCTGCTCACACCCGTGGCCCCTGTTTCTCCAGGCACTGAAATCCAGCCTCCCTGCTTGTCTTCTGACTCTTCAGATCTTGCTTTAGCAGCCATTACTTCCTCCCATGATGTCCTGATCCCAGCTTATAAACACACATGCCCTCGGGGCCCATGAGAAACACACATGCCCTCGGGGCCCATGAGGAGCTCAGGGAGGAAAGGTGCCTGCTGCCAAGCCCTACAACCCGTGTTCATTCTCTGTGACCCACAGAGTGGGAGGACAGAACGAACTCTCACCTACACTTGGCGTGGGTATAGACACACACACACACACACACACACACACACACACAATAATAGTAACAATACAAGCAACCAACATGTTGTGCATCTCTGTCACCCAGTCTGTTCTGTGTCCTTGTTTTAGCTGCCTTCAGAGGCTTCAGTATCCCTGTGACTCCACCATTGTGTGTGCCCTAGTGGGACACGTGATCCCCAGGTCTCATCTGAATTTAACTCTGAGATGCTCATAATCTCACTTGGAACCCTTTCCTGTTGTGACTTTAACAGGCAGCATTTTGTTGGCTGCTGTCTGTCTGTCTCCAGCTCTGTCTGGGAGCTGCACACCCGCTCAGCTTCAAAGAGACATGCTGCCGACCAGACTGCTACTTTCTTCTTCCTCCTTCTCCTCCTCCTCTTCCACCCCCCCCCACACACAGGGTTTTGATTTGTAGCCCCAGCTGTCCCAGAATTCCCTCTGTAGACCAGGCTGACCTTGAACTCAGAGATCTGCTTCCTCTGCCTCCTGAGTGCTGGGATTAAAGGTGTGTGTTATCTTGCCTCTTAATGAATTAACTTTTTTATCGTATGTGTATGGATGCTCTGCCTGCATCTATGTCATCTGTGTGCTGCTTTCATGCCTGTTGCCTGTGGAGGCCAGAAGAGGGTGTTTGATCCCCTGGGGCTGTAGTTACAGTTTAAGTTATCTTGTGAGTGCAGGGAATAGAACTCTGGTCATTTGGAAGAGCAGCCAGTGCTCTTAACCATTGAGCCACCTCTCCACCTGAGCTTCTTTAGGACTGCCCCAGCTTCCACACAAGCCTCTCTGTCCTGTATGTTGTCTTTCCCAATGGTTGGCATTGTGTATCAGTCACTAGCCTGGGGCCACATTTCATGCTTCTTTTTCCTTCCTACCCTCTCCACAACACTAATCCTTCAACTCCTTGTGGCAGTTTTGTTTCCTCAGTTAGCAAACACATGCCATACAGGCTGATGTTACTATAACACAATGTTACTGATAGCTAAGAGTTTTGGCTTTTTTCCACCTTCCTTTTTTGAATAGGGTCTCTCTATGTGACTCTGCAACTCTGTCGTGAAACTCCTATGGGTAATAGGCTGGCCTGTAACTCACAGAGATCCTCCCACCTCTGCCTCCTTGAGGGCTATGATTAAAGATATGCACTACCATGCCTGGCTGAGGTTTTTTTTTTTAACGTTGGCCTATTTTAATTTTTGTTAGATATTTTGATTGTCAATTTAAAAGAAATGGAGACTCAAAGGGTTCAGTGAACGAAGGCAGAGACAAATGGTGCAATAGCACATAGAATGGAGTATTAGCCAGTCTTGAAAAGGAAAGACTGGGCTAGAGAGACAGTTCAGAGTTTAAAGCACGTAATTCTTTTCCAGAGAACCTGAGTTCAACTCTGAGCACCCACATGAGGTGTCTCAAAAATGCCCCACACTCCAGCTCCAGGAATCTGACACACTCTTGTACACATACTGTGCACAGATGCACACACCTATAAAGAAATTGTTAAGAAGAAGAAAAAGGAGGGGAGCTAGGTGATGCAAGGAGAGCAGGAGAATTCTGGGGAGGAGGAAGTTGATTCCTCCCATTCCTGCCCAGGCCACCAAAGCAGCAAGATGTGAGCTGCCCCACTGAAAAAGGTACTGAGCCACATGACTAACATAGATCAGAAAAATGGGTTAATCAAGATGTGAGAGTTAGCCAGTAAGAAGCCTGACCTAAGGGGCCAATCAGCATTATAACTTATAGAGATCTGTGTGGTTGATTTTCTCTGGGGCCTGTCGGCTGTGGGGTACCAGGCAGGGACAGAAAACACAAAAAAGCAGGCCTTACATGCTACAGAATGGCGCCCACATGGATAACTGCATCCACAGAAAGCCTAGAAAGCTTGGGAAGGACTAGAGTAAAGTATTTCGGTTTTCAGCCTTGGCAGGAAAAAAGCTACGCAGGCTTTCTGGGCCGTCCAGCCAGGGAAAACTCTTGACTTTCAAGCAGGCAGTTCAGACTATGGATACAATGTTGCACCTTGCTTACTGGCAAGGACCTTGACACAGGAGCTTTTGAGTATTATTTTCTCCATATTCCTTAGCAAATTAAAGACCCATGTGGTCAGAAAAAGAGAGATATAGAATAAAGGGAGAGTCAAAGAGTAAGAAAACCTCTAAATGGTTTACAGTGTGTTAAAAATATATGCAGGCTTGAAAAAAAAGGTTTAAAGCCTTAAAATAAAAAAGAAAGAAAGAGAGTAGTTGGGTATGGTGGTACATACCTTTAATCCCAGCACTGGGGAGGCAGAGACAGACGGATCTCTGGGAGTTCAAGGATAGCCTGGTCTACAGAGGGAGTTCCAGGACAAAGATATGCAGAGAATCTGTCTCAAAAAGCTAAAAGTTAAAAGTAAAAATAAAAGAAATAGAGGTTAAAATAAAGCCACGTAAAGATGGAAAATACACAGAGAATCTTGATACTGTATGTTATTATGCTCTCTTTGAATTGTTCAAATGCTGAGGAAGGAGCAACAGTTGCTAAAAAATATTTGCTTATAAATGCTGCAGAATTAATCCAAGATAGGTATTTTGAAAATACCTTGGCTTCAAAATTGAAGGCAAAAGGTATGTTACTTTGAAGAAGAGATTTTGCTTTTGTTCTCACAGAAAACGAGAGGCTCTGGATTTATTCAGAGTTAAGAAAAATCATCTTTGACCAAGGGAGACCACCTGAGCAATCTCCAGTAGGAACAGATGGCCCAGATGTCTGAGTTCTTCATCCAGAACAGGTTCAAGACTGCTGCCTGAGATGATCAAGACTCACAGGATACTTCAGTCAGGACTTGATCATAACTAAATTTTCTTTAGGTTCCCATAAGATTATTAGCACCTCCAACCAGCTGGAAGTAGTGTGGAATACTACACCCACATTCCCAAAAATGGACTATGGATATTTTCCTTTTTTTTTTTTTAAAAAAGAGGGGGAAGTGGTGTAACATGAGGGCCGGCTTGTTGGGGTTTCTGTCACTCCCAGTACCCCAACAGCCGGCAAGCAACAAAGAAAATCACACACAAGACTCCATAAGATTATAAACTGATTGACTCATTAGGTCAGGCTTCTTGTTAACTCTTATAATTTACGTTACCCCATTATTCTTATCTATGTTAGCCACATGGGCTCAGTACCTTTCTCAGTGTGACAGCTTACATGTTGCCTCTTCGGTGGTCTGGACAGGAATGGCGGAGGGACTTCCTCCTTCCTGGAATACTCCTGTTCTCATCGCC